CATAGGATGCACCACGAGAAGGTATAACTCACTTAACAAAGATCTCTTAGCAAAGATCAGGTCTCCACAGTTGTGCATCTTGAATAGTGCTAAAGCAATCTGCAACTTTTATTCACTTTAAGTATGTTATAAAACTCATAAAGATCAATTTTCTTTCAATTTTAACAAAAAAAGTTTGAAAGCAAAGCAATTTCAAATATCATTATAAAAATGTCAATAACTCGAAATAACGAATCATTCATATCAATTTTTTTTTATCTTTGAACATTTTTTATTTTCGTCATTCATTTTTTGAGTGATTAATCTCGACTTACAGAACACTTGTATATGATTATGCTATTTTTTTCTTATTTCTTCAAACTTAACTTTTTGTAAAAAAACCAACGCATAATTATTTTTTTAATTTTATTTTTTATGTCTCTTAATTGTTGCTGTTATTTCTCTTATATCAAACAGAAATTTTACGAAAGAATTTATTATGAACATATATAGATATATTTTGTATATAATTATATATATTTTTATATATTTATGTATATTATCTTAGATGTTATCACCATTGAAGTCATATTAGCATCTTAAAACATTATTTATAATCTTGAAATAAGAAATCGACTATGAATATCGACCAATCCTAAAAAGTTTGATCATTTCCAATGATCACCTCAGAATGTGATAATATTGCAATTGTATAAAATAATTAATTCTGTTGTTTTACGAAGTATTTTATAACAAATTAAGTATCTTGATTAAAATTTGCAAAATTAAATGCAAAATGTATAATAAAAGATTTGTATTAAACAAATAAAATATATTCCAAAAAATAATTCCTTAAAAGCGTTTCTTGTTTCTAATTTTAATATAATATCAATTTTAGATCAAAATATCAGAAAAAGCAATATAATTTTAATATAATATCAATTTTAACACCAATTTTAGTGACAATATGCTTCCCCACTAACAGATATATTTAAAAATGACATCAAAACTTAGTCGAAAAATAGTCTAAAATGATCAATATAATGATGTCAAAATAATAGAAAAATGATAAACTAATCACGAACTAATGACGATATTTTAATCCTTAATTGGACGCGCCTCCGGCCGAACGTTACTGGGCGCGCGCGGCATTGAGTGCCGCATCACAAATTTATTATTTGGGAGTTTAATAATTAGATAAATAACTGAATAATCATCATAAAAATAAGTAAAATATATTTATATTGAAATATAATATTAAAACTTAATTATAATATTAAAATTTTGTGTCTACTTTCTTATAAAAATAAAAGTTTGATTAGATGTAAGTAGAAAATTAAAAATAAGATAATTGTTTTAAAAATAAAGACATTAATTTAAAATCGAAAATAGAAAAATAATAATAATGTTCTTATAAGATAATGATATGAAATAAACTATTAAAATTCACTAAAATAAGAAAAAATAAAATAAAATTAATTAAAATTAATTATTTCTTCTTGTTATCTTCTTCCATCTCTCCAAATATTTACAGAATACCTCTCGATTTAAGATATTTTTATTTTTGAGATTTATGATAGGAAACTTAGGATCAGATTTGGATTCAGGATGTCTCTAAAATTGTTTCAAAATTGGTATTGTTTAAGCTTTTTAAAACATAACTAACTCTAACCTAAAGATATATTAAGCATTAATGCGAGTAAAAATAAATTAAAAATAAGTTAATGTGAAAAATGTTTTAACATCTCGCATTATTATAATTATTTACGTAAGCAAGATTTTATTTACGTTCTGAAGTGTGTGCAGCACTCCGTGCCGCAAAACGTATCTTTCCGATTTTAAAGTAGATAAAAGGCTAATCGCTTAATAGGAAAAATGCGGCAGTTTGCACTGTCTTATAGCTGAGATGCTAAATGAGGAATACAGAAAGTCAGTAATAGAAAAAAGACCTGCATTATTTCAGAAAAATGAATTTTGCGGCACTCAGTGTCGCGGCGCGCCTGGTTAAGAGTTAAGAAGACGTAATTTCATGACTCTTTTCAATTTTTTAGTAGTTTTAATAACATTTTAATAATATTAGAAATTTATGAAAATAAAATTAAAATATACACAAAATTATTTATTTATTTATTACATACGAGATTGATTGTAAAATATATTTTCATTAAGAGTAATAAAAAACTAAAAAAATTTTTTAAATACTTAAGAGATATTTTAAAACTTTATGAAAATTTAAATTAATCTGTAATTAAAAATAGTAATAATGCAACTTATATACAGACTATCTGATTCGAATGAATACACTTGTATGCATAAAGCGGATCAAATTGAGCAGAAATATTCTCTATTATTTTGCGATTTTTGCAAATTAATAATAAATTAATGAATTAAAAATCACTGAACAAACGCGTATCCATTCGTTCCACTGACAAATGCCAAGCATATCAAATAAAACCGCAAGATATGATTGCTTAGAACGCCTAGTTACGCGCATTCGCTAAGAGTACGAAAGAGACGAAATGTTTGGAGGTGTGTAAAACTATAAGCAGATGTTTTATCATTGGGTTGAATATCACGCCACACTTCAATCGCAAACATACGTAATGCTAGGCGCATCTCGCTATGTGCTTAGCATAGTTTGTTAAATCAGGACCGGATGAATACGCACTGATTCGGTGAGTTTTAATAGTTAATAATTCATTACTAATTGCGAAAACTTAAATCAATTTATAAAAATCACTTAAAAATTATGATATTATGATGTTCTTATAAAACATCGGATATATAAAGATGAGATATAAAAAAATAACTTTAATTTAAATTTTAATTTAAATTTTGTTTGATTATATGACGTCATTAGATCAGTAATTATCAATTTTTTACATCATTTTGACGTAAATATGTTACTTGGTAATTGGATTTCGCAATTACTTTTATCAAATAAATACGAATCTATGATGACTTGATCTCTATTCATATATTAAATCGAAGTCAGATTAAAAAAATTTAATACAAATAAACGGGAAGAAAGTTTTATTCGAAGTGGTTCTCTACCAAATGTTATATTTGCGTGAATTTTATAATTTTTAAAATATGTTACTGTATGAGAGAGATGTATGAGAGAGATCACCATACTCGGACACGAGCAATAGGACTGAATGGTGAGAATATGTTACTAGATTGTTTACTTATTAACGTTAAAAAATTTAATATTTTTTGTAATATGCTCTACATTATGATAAATTTGATATTTATTTATTATAGATTTCTTGCTTATCAACACTTGTCACTTAAATTAACCTAATAATTAAATAATTTTTTTAAATGTTTTTGCTCAAACTGATCAAAAATCCTATATCATTTTACGATTTTCACAAAGTAATGTAGTAATGAATTATTAAAACACAAAGCTAATTAATTTGACCACTAAAATTGATATTGTATTAGAATTAGAGTATTTTTTTTTTAAATTAACATCATATTAGAAATAGACTTTTCTAGATTAGATTTAATTTATGTTATATGCTATATACGAGTTTGCAATATCACAATCACTCATCGCACATGAACGCAGACAGTAATTTGTATCCTGAATTTAATTTCGCGTTTCTAAATATATTAAGAAAAAAAATGTTATAAAATCTGTATTCATGATCTGTACATTAATAATACATAATAAATGCTATAGTTGCTCAATAACTTTTATTAAATATTAATAATATATAATATAG